GTGGCCACAGGTACAGTGATTCCTAAAGAGAATTCGTGGTTTGGGTTTTCCGCAGGGGTTTCAGGAACGTAATTCCCGCAAAAAACACAGGATTACTGTACTGCACATACTACTAATGGGTATACATCACCTTGTACTAAATCAAGTATTACCTATGGCATATAAATCATAATGTACTGCACCATTTAATGCTTCTTAAAAGATATGAAATCACAACAAAGTCATATATAGATTGCTTGAGGATCCTATTAGACAAAAGTACCTCGGTATTTGTGTTACTCTGATGTAGGCATCATAAGTTACATAAAGCATATATTTACTGCATCTAAAACTTTGTCACACAACTGATGTAAATGCTGTATCTATATGTAAATGCTTTATTGAGTCACATTCACAAAGTGTAATATTGAATAAACACAGATAAAAAACTGAAGTGCTTTACATAAATGGATACTGTATGGTGTATCATTAAGTAATTACAAGTTAATAAGCCTAACAGAACAAAAGACGGCACATTGTGTTAAGATTACTTAGACCCGAGTTATTCCTTAGGTGACTGATAACACAGCTGACCTCACTCACAATGATGAGAGGGCAACCAGTGAACTCTGACACATTCATCATTAACTCTAGAATAGATTTTACAAGTCACTGACAAATTATGTAATGAATATAACTAATATTAGATTACAAAATAAGCTATAATGTACAACTCAAAAGAGTCATCATCTGACTAGAGCAGGAAATAAATTCACCATTATGTTATGACAAATATCTAGAAAATGATGTGATGCATTATCTAATAAAACCAATTTTTTTTTAAATTAGCTGAACAAAACAATAAAAATTTATTAAAAATAACGAAAGCTATACAAGAACAAAGGAGAGATATACAGTATTGTAATGTAAAGTAGGAAAAATATGTGAGAAACTGGTAAAAGGGCCACAAATATTATCTCTGTGTTATGTGTATTGTAACTTACTAAGCTATGATAGTTATCCACAACAATAGGTGGTGTCAGGAATAGAGTAATATTAAGAATTGTATTAGAATTTATAAATATCATTAATAGATATAATTAATTTGTATTAATTATTAAAAATGCATTAATTATTAAGGTTCTTTCTAATTTAATGAATGAAAACATCATGTGGATTCCTGGTTGAATAGTTGATTACAGTTGTGCTATTTTGATCATAAATTTCTATGGTTGTATATACGGTATATTGAACTCTGATTAATATGATTTTATATATTTAACTTTGGTTAATATGGTTGTTGCACTTCTGTAGTCAATATACTCTGCATGGGGATATGGAAAGTTGTATTATTATATGAAATCATGATATCTATAATTAAGGGGAATTCAGACATAACACTGTTGAGTTGGTTTGTGTATGTAGACCAACAACAGTGCAGTTTGCTCAGAAACGTCATACAATCCACACCACTAGGCCACCACCCGCTGCCATTAATAACTACTCTGGAGCAATTCATCAGGGAATATAATAGTGTATATTTTTTATGGTCACTTATATGTTCCTCGTCAGTCCATTAATTCAATTGTAAAGGATTTAGTGACCAGGTAATTATTTGATTTACGTATTTGAAGCCCCCCTACTTAAGAAAAAAATAATTAAAACTGTCTTAATGCTATGACTTCCAAGAAAAGCTATGACTTAAGAGAAATCTATAACTTACAAGAGAAATATATAACTTTCAAGAGAAAGCAATAACTTGCAAATGAAAGCTACAACTTCGAAAAAGTACAATTTAAATTAAAGAAACAACTGTATCTTGCAGGAGATGATAAAGGAATGCCCTGTGACACATTTTCTTCATTATTATTCACTGAAATCTATAAATAATTCACCTGAGACTTGAGAAAGAACTGATGATACAACAATAGAAATAATCAGTGTAAGCTACTCCATATTACAAACAATATGGAATATCCAAAGTCATGAATTTCTCACTTGTTGAATACACTGCAATTACTCAAAAGGACAAATGCACTTGGTTCATATGTGTTCATGTTGTGCCATCTCAACAAAACACTTACATCACAAAGAAGTTGCACCACTTAAGTTACAAAATTACAGTGCTGCATGTTGTTGCTTAGGTGCAGTAGGCAATCACTTAAGATTTATGTTTTTCATAGCACACAGAACATATTCAAAGGTAAAATATACAAGTAAACTAAGAGATCCATTCAGTTATAATACCTTAAAGAAATCCCAAGATACACAGTACCATCACTAAAAATAAATTCTGAATACAGGAGGTCCCCAGGATACGTACGTCCGACTTTCGAACATCTGCCGATACGAACAACAGCCCATAAAGTTTAAAAAAAAATAATATATATATATATATATATATATATATATATATATATATATATATATATATATATATATATATATATATATATATATATATATATATATATATATATATATATATATATATATATATATATATATATATATATATATATATATATATATATATATATATATATATATATATATATATATATATATATATATATATATATATATATATATATATATATATATATATATATATATATATATATATATATTTCATGTAAATCCACAATGAAAAACGTGGATAAGATAAATCTTGATATATATATATACTGCATATATTTTTGTTATGGGGATTAGCCCACCTCGGCACTTTAGAAAACACATTATGGTTCCAATATCTTCCCAGGCAGCATAACCTCCCTGTTTGATAGCTGCCTAGTACCTACTACTTTTACCTGATGACTTATTTTTTACTTTCATTTACCATATTTTGTCACTCAATTTCTTATTTTCTCTTAAATTAAGTGATTTTAGATTCATATGAGGACTTAGGCTATGATGTACTGTAGTGGGATTTTAAAAATTGTTCTGTAAGTACAATATGCACATCGGGAATGTGACTCAACTTAAGTACTTTTTTTACTTAAGAACGTCCATAGGAATGGAGCGCGTACGTAACCCGGGGACTGCCTGTGTATATTTGATCCTAAGTTTTAAAGAAATTGTCCATGGAAACTAAAGACTACTTCATATAGAGTAATAACTATAAGCTTATAACACAATTGTCTGATGGAGATTGTAGAGTTTATGGCTGCCAGATGCTAGGATTAATATAAGATATTTAAGAGTGCACTCATATCAAGCAGTAACAGGGCACTGTCTAAAACACTCCTCTGATAAGGAGAGTACATGGTGAAATTGACATTTAGATGGTTCTAAATGGAAAAATTAAAAAAAAATTTTACAGAGTATTATATAACATTACTGCTCCTAATAAATAACAGAATTTTCCTAAACTTTCCTAGGACAAGTGGAAGTGTCCATTCTATCAGGTAGAAGGGTGACTAAATAATTAACAATTGGTTTCCTAAATGGGTAACACTTGTATCAAGCAACCCACCACCAACTACCAAGTACTGTACAGTATTGGTTTATCAAGTCTAACCTTAATTCCAGCAAACAGGACGATGCTGAAAAGTATGTACTGTAACTTACAGATATAAACCATAATTATGAATAAAATAAATGCCCTTATAAAGCAATTTTTTGAATAAGATTATATTTACGAGGCTTTATTTCTATTTGTTTATATGTACTAATTCGGTACCGTTTCTACTCCTATATAGTGTATTTTCACCTATTATTTAAATAAGGTGCTCCCCATCTAGTCTCTTGATATCTTTACAAGATATGAATAAAGTACAGTGAACCCTCACTTTACGCGGTCAATTGAACCCACGGCGGCCCGAGTAAAGTGAGAAACGCGTAAAGTGAACAACATAACATATGGGATTAATTGAAATAGAGACCGGGCCGACCCCCAAACTCCACTTTTTCAGACACAATACCTACGTTGTAGTAAAAATAACTTCTTAATTTTATGATGGTATGCACACACAATTAATAATTAAGAGAAATATCAATAATATTAGGTTTTTTAACACTTACACTAGTAGAAAAGATGGCTGGGCACACGGGGATGGGGGGTTGGTTCCGAGGCAGAGGGCAGATTATTGGCCCTCACCTGTATCACTTGTATCAATTGTATCACTATCCACCACAGAGGCTTGCAGGGCCTCTTTGTCAAACCCCTCAAAGTCCATATAAGTCCATATCCTCACTATCATTATCACTATCACTGACTTGGGCCGGCTGTGGTGGGTGACGGGTGAAGAACTCGGTAATGTTTTGATGACTGGGCGACCTTGTGTGCACCCTGCTCGCACCGCTCTCCGCGTAAAAGGGTACACACACCGCGGAAAGTGAGCATTCCGGTTTCAGCAGGGTACCACGTAAACGTGGAAACGCGTAAAGTGAAACCGCGTAAAGCTGGGGTTTACTGTACAGAGTTCAATATGGTTATTTTCATCTTCATATACAAATGAGTAAAGTTAAATTTTTCAAGCTACCTCATTCACATACTGTACTGTACAAATATTGGTCAAGAATATTATTTACAAATCTTTTTACACTTACAGAATGTTTTATTTGAGATCAAAATAAAAAAGCCACTCAAAACACACACACACACTAACAACTACTACTACTTTGCTGTCACTCAGAATCGAGTATAATGATCATCCAGCTATGATACAATGATACGAGTTATTAAGGTGACTAGAGGCTGATACGGGACCGGCAGGGTCGTCCACAGATGTTGCACGTGTGGAAGGCTATATCTAGTGAGGGAGGGGCGGCGGTAGCGTTTTTCCGACGTTGGCGCTTGTCTGCCTCGGTATGCAGTCGGGCTAACTTGAAAGTACAGTATTGACACCTCGTGTGGTGCTCCTCCAAGAGTCATGGTGTGGAGTTATCGTCTCCCAGGTGAGGGGGTCGATATATATATATATATATATATATATATATATATATATATATATATATATATATATATATATATATATATATATATATATATATATATATATATATATATATATATATATATATATTTCACTGACACTTCTAGTTTCTGATAAAGATGACCAAGACTTGTTTTACTGTCATGTGGTATATAAAATAAATGCGGAATAAAACTTGGTCGACAATACCTGGGTTTTACTGTTTTACATTTCAAGTAACATTTTTAAGATTTAAATCCCAGAATAAATGATGAAAACATTTTTACTCTTTACAATGAAACCAGAATTTTAAAAGGTTGAAAACCTCTGCATAAGAAATTTGTCTTTAACTGTACAGTACACAAAAATCATAAACTTGAATATATGACACAAATACCATACTGAAATTTGTCTTTCTATTCTGTCACCTTGGATATACTAATTATGATAATGCACACTTAAACAGTTTTGACTTCTTGGCCTTTTTCAATATTTTATGCTATATAGAATATTTCAGTAAATTAAATTGAAGAAAAAAATTAAGAACATTAATTCAACTGAGTATGACTCATAACTGCCAAGTCTAGGTCCAGTAACATTACCCTTCACGCTACATAATCATCATCATTTTACGGACATTTCTACTATTGCATGGGTTAGCCGTGATTGCCATTAAGTCATTTGTTTCTCATTTCCTCTGAATGTTTTAAGAATATTGTACAATAAACTAGAGCTACACAGCTCTTAATATCATATTTGACCTCCATCTAATTCCAATTACAACAATGATGTATCTTTATTTTATGGCTATTATCTATTGTCTATCTTTTACATACAGTATCTTCAGAAACATACATACTGTACAGTGTCTCAAAAACGTAGCTGCCAGGATGGCTCTGATGAATTTTAAAATACTACATGCAACTCATGATGTCCTGGGAGGGTTGGTATTTTGAAGCAGATAGTATAATTTTCTGGTTTTAGTATTGACAGTGTTAAAAATGCTGGTAAAATTTAATTAAAAAAAATCTTTGGAGTTTCTTACCAGAATGTCGTCATATCAACCAAGCACTTCGGAAAAAAGCTATTTAATTGTACGTCTGTAAAAGCAGTTCTGGATAATACTGCCGTGGAACAAAAATTTGAAAGGGAACTTTAAAAAAAATTCATATGTTTTCATCTTAAATCCATTGATTAAGCTGATTCTTTACAGCATCCATGAGTTCTGTGAATACTAATTCTGACCATCTGATTTACTCTTTCCTTTACTTACTTTGAACAGTTTATGGTCAGCTTGTGCCGGTGTTTACAATAATAAAAGTCTTGTCATTCTCATAAATTGATAAATTTCAAATGATGCTATTACAGTATTGAAAATATACGACTTGGACTTAGAAAAATTACTCTCATGCTACAGTATTTTATTACACACATTCTCAACTGCTCTTTTGCACCTTGTTTTTATACACTAAAAGCAACGGATTTTAGATTTTTAATGCCACAACAATAGTTTTTTTTTATGTAAGCAAACACACTAAAGATAATATTACTTTTCAACAACTGCATTAAAAAATAACTGTACAGTGTGCTACAACTTCTTTATTCAGACCAATATTTTACTCAACAGTATTATACATATGATACCAGAGAGATGTTAAGGGAGCAGTTACGAGTATCTTAATGCATGGCTGTATCATAACACTTTTAACAATAAATATAAAACAAATTTTGAGAGGGTGGAGCTCAGTTAGGTATTAGCTTGAGGAGATCTATATTGACGTCGACTTTACCAGAGTACCCATTATGTTCAATGCTCTCCAGGAACTTAATGTAACCCTGAAAGAGATAAACCTATGTATTAATCACTTGATAAATGCTGCAGATTTCTATTCATTATTGTACTTATCCTATTTCCTTTCTATACATCAAAAAGGCTGATGCAAAGCCTCCTCTATACATGACCATCTACACCATACTAATGCTGCTTGTTTAGCATCCTTCTAATAATGGGGGTAGACATTCAACACCCTTTTGTGTAAACTTTTGCCCTCCCCTTAAATTCAGGTTTTTCAAAATGTGTCTACCTTGTATGTGGAGTGCCTTTCTCTCCCCTAACCTAACCTTACCAACGATATCAAAAACTGATTATTAACTGCTAAGTTGAGACACAAAATAAATATATATTCTTGGTTTGACTGTTAATATGTGCACAGGCTGTAAATGTAGGTCTATTTCATTTGAGTTTATTCTATAGTACAGTGGATCCTTGTTATATGTATGAAATCCATTCCTAAAAGTTTACACATATAATTATTATACAAATAATGAAGCAATTTTTCACCTCCAAATTAATGTAATAAGGAAGGTTTGGTTCCTAGCCGGTCAATTCATATTACATTTATTGGTTAATATGAAATAAAAAGCACAGAAACAAATACGCCCTGTACTAATCAAATAAATACTATACAGTACAGCAATAAATAAAACACATTCTAATCATAGTAGTGTACTAATTATGTACTGTACAGCCATGCGCCAGTTAACATCCTAGATACGTTCTTGGAAATGTGACGTTAACTGAAATGGACGTTGTCCGGTCATCACATAAACTTTGTATTTATACTTACATGTATGTGGAATACTATATACGTACATATACACTTTTACTCTTAAATCACTACTGTAATGTGATACAGGTGATTAATTTTTATCTCTTGTGCAAAATACATGACGATTATATTAAAATTATTTACTGTTTTACAAGGATTCCAGCAACGTTGGGCAGATGGGGGAGAGAGAGGGAGGGAGGGAGGGAGCGAGCGAAGGGGCATGGGGGGAGGGGAGCGGTCTGACAGTTGGCATAGGCCCAGGTCTAACGCGTGTATATTTATCAGTTCTTAAGTGACTAAGCTTCTCTCTTCTAAAAAGCCAGTGAAATGACCTGGGTGAATATAATTTACATTGCTGGGATTCTTGTAAGATGCCGATTAATTTGAATATAAACATGCTATAATTTGCACTAGACATAACAATTTTAGTACCGTAATCAAATTAGTACATGTACACTCCAGCTTTGTACTAAGGTCATTTATTTCTTTTACGTTTCTTTTAGTATGGTGTGTGCATGTAAATTGATGAAAATAAATGAAGAAATTTATGTAAATCTACCCAAAAATACAGTTGAAAAACTTTATACTGTATTATAAAATGTACGACAGTATTGTACACTAATGTACTACAATCTTATATCTTGAGCAAAATATATGACGTTTATATTCAAATTATTGGCTGTCTTGCAAGGATTCCAGCAATGCAAATTATAATCTCCTAACTTTAGTCCGAGATATTATATAAAATAAACACCTTAAAGAATAAAGTTATCACCAATCTTTTGTCTGGGAACACAAGGAGGGAGGTAGCCAGCGAGCAAGGGGGGAGGTGAGGTGACAGAGTGTCTGGTCTTTGTTTATTTATTTGAGATAAGATTTGACAGTTGGCGCTGAAGGCCTGCCTGCGTGTTTATTTATCATTCCTTAAGAGTGACTAAGCTCTTCTCATAATTTGCCACCCAAACAACCTGGGTGAATATAACTTACATTGCTGGGATTCTTGTAAGATAGTGATTTATTTGAATACCTGTATAAACAATCTATATTTGCAATAGACATAACAATTTAAGTACCGTAATCATTTAGTACGTGTACAGTACAGGTTGGTTCCATTGTTAACCGAGGGACCACTGTATTGCAGTGTCCTTGTACTGTACAATATTGACTAAATTCACTAGATAACGAATACAACTAATGGTTGGTAAAACTTGTCAAGTAAGTGAGTGTCAAGTCTGTCAGTACAAGTGGCATGTGTGAGTGCTCGTGTCCCCCATTACAGGAGTCCGATTTCTCTCGCTTCAGGACGCCTGAGTCCGTTTTCTCTTAATCTTAGAGTGCAGTGCACCAGAGACTTCGTTATTCCTTAGTAATGACACAGAATTTGAAATTGCAACCTCAATTGCAACTGGGGTTGCAATTGTTGAGGCAACTAGATATGTCTGATTACAGCAAATGTGTTATTGTCAATTTGTAGGTGAAAGATTTTATCCTCAATAGATGTAGGTTAACATTACACCTGGAGGCAAATGCTTACTGAAGCCTAAGGAAGGAAATTCCTTTAACACATAATATCTGGCAAGTATGGGAAGGATCATCGTGTCTCCGTCAGGGGGTCGTGGAGTGGTAGTCCAGCAGGCGTCACGGAAGTTTTTTTTTTTTTCACTGACGTATATGCGATCCGACGTTGTTCGGTTGGACGTTAACCAGCGCATGACTGTATAGTAATTTTTTTGCTTGGGTGAGTAGTATGCATGTGTCAACAAACTGTGTGTAGGCATCCGTGGGTATCCTTCTCCCACCATGTTGCTGACTGCTTTCCATGATATTGTCTTCCTCAACTCGTGAGTTTAGCTTTCGATTCAAAGTATCCTCATTGCCTTTAGTATCAGAACATTGAATATGTTTTTAATGTTTCCTTTCTTAGAGAAGTACAGTATTAAATATTTTTAATACTGTATGTTTCATAAAATAAGTTTTTGAAGGAATAATAAATAAATACCAAATGAAGAGTCGATTAGTTCATGAAAACGTAGTTATCCCTGCCCTTAATATATGGCAGCACAAGCAGTCACGTCATCAGCTAGCAGAGGCCACCACCTAGCACTACGCAGCTCAAACATGACACGAGACACTTTGAGTTTGAACTACTGCAGTCCAGGAAGCAGTTGTTCAGACTCAAGACAAGTTATCACTTGCTAAAAAACATTTTGAAATGATGGAATACTGTTGAAGCAAGAAAAAGTAGTGTCTTAAGAACTGTTTACAGTAATCTCCCCAGTAACTGGAGTCTTCGATCCCCAGAACTCTCCAATAGCTGGAATGAGTTTTTGAGGCTTCCGAGAAATTCCAGGAAAAATCTCTCCATTCTGGGCATGCGAATGAAATTACAAAGAAGGGATCATGGACATTTCCTGAAAATTCTAAGAAAATTTCCAGGTATTCCAGGTATGGGGGTTCAGGGAATTCCAAGAAATTACATAATGCTCCAATGCGTCCCCAAGTGCTGGGCACATGGGTGGGCCAGCTGGTTGGGTAACTTAGGCAGTAAGCTCACAAGCTTAGTTCATATTCTGCTGCCACTGCACAAAGTTGTTACCTTGCCCACTGATGATTTTGTGTGCAATTTCTGTTGTACAGTACTGTATATTATTGTACTACGACAATATCAGGCAACAATACAGTGTTAAGACGTAAAAAGTGATTACAGTTACGTATAATGTACTGTACTGTAAATTCAGTAAGAGTTAAATTCTGTACTGTATATACAATACTATATATAGCAGAGCGGACAGTGTATGCCTACTGTAGGCTAGTGTGTAGAGGTGTATGTATAGTGTACAGTGTATGTACAATTCCTCTGTCATAGAGGGAGAGGAGAGTGACAGTTAGTAACACTTGCTACAGTAAATGGTACAGGACAATGGCAGGCCGTTCAGTATCATCATATCACCATTTGGCCTGCCTGCATCACATGTCTAAGATGACAGCGTCTGCTGGTGAGTACAGTACAGTACACCCGGATAATTTGCGGATTTTTATTTCACAGTCCTCTAATATTTGCGGATGACACCTTGGATGTAACCAAGAATGTCTGCGGGTAGTTTTAAAGTTGCCAGCATTTTGGAGGCAGGGACAGGAAGCCATTTGTTCTAGAGACAGTAATTTATTTTACCTGTATTGTATATGCAGTGAACCCTCGAAGATCCGGACTAAAAGGGGGGACCACCTGTCTGAAAAAGCTGATTGTCCAAATCATCCGGCAAATGTACTAAATGGATAAAAACCATAAATATGGTACATATTATACCACTGGGGTTAGTTATACAGACTTTTCCCTCTGAAAAAGCCAAAATTTTGAGCAACATATTACTGTACCGTAGTTTTCGGCTTAAAAGACGCACTTTTTATGACAAAATTATACCTTGAAAATTACCATGCGTCTTCCAGGACACTAGTCGATAAGTTGTAGCAGAGGTTTTTGAAATCAGCCCCTTACAAAGACTGTTACCTCATTATAGTACATAACAATTACAAGTATTCTCTATACAGTACTATAAAACTATTGATTTAACTAATATTGTTGATATATTGCAAAAAAAAATAATAATAAACCCTTGCTGCTGTGTGTTTCTTTACTAATGGCAGTGGTGCGGCAGCGCCATCTATTGAGGAATTGCTAAAGGTTGTCTGCTGGTCTCAAATGCAGGAACGTTTGTTTCTTTATATGTAGGCTTTCATATTTGGACACCTATTTACAGTAGGCTCTCATATTTGGATACCCATTTAGACTGTAAAAACCCCACAAAATTAAAATCTTCCAAATTTAAATACAACTTCGTCATCCAAGTCAAAACACACACACAACAACATTGGCTGTCCTTATGTTTTCAACTTTATTACCACTGGTGGGTAGATATTTTTTTTAATTCAGAAATATTAATTAAAATATATATGAACAGTAAATAAGTGTTGCTTTCATATTCTTATGTACAGTAATGATGATATGTTTTCACATGTGCTCACTTACATACGTGATCTCACTTTATTTTTACCCTTAATTGTTAGCTACTTCCATTGTTCCATTTATTAACATGAAATAACATTACTTAAAACAACCATATTAATTTTTCTACATTAATTTTAATACAGCTACAATGGAGGACTTATTTTCTTTAGTTTTATAATTATGTAGAACCAATCAGTCACTGGTTTTGCAAAAAACGAGTTCTTTTTTTACTTTTATTTTGTTTTTAAATAATTTTGTTTTTGTTTTAAATAGACGTTGATATACATGTTTACATTTGCTTACCTTCTACTGTTGGAAAATATTTCCCGTCGTTGTCATACCGACAAAAACAAGAGAAAGAATGTAAACACTACAGCCCCTTAGATGTGGAGGTGACCAGGTGTATAAAATGAGCGCTGTATTAAAGATTTCACCTTCTTATGCAGATTTTTTTTTTAACTTGATGAAAATGACGACTGATAAGCAGTTCTAAGTGATGATATTCAAAGAGGTGTGTGCCTAATGGTAGACCCTGCTGCTATGTGACCAAGTCCCAGGTTGATGATCTGACTTTCTGCAGGGTCTCAATTGTTTCTCTTACTTTGACAACACAACATACATACAGGTATATTGTTTCTCACTCTTGACATTATTATTATTATTATTATTATTATTATTATTATTATTATTATTATTATTATTATTATTATTATTATTATTATTATTATTACCCCTTAGGCCCCAATATGGGTCAGTGACTTGTGCCCAGGTGGGCTAAAACCCGTAATTTTTTTTTTTTTAGAATTTCATTTCCAAAATCAGGGAGCGTCTTCCACGATGCAGCATCTTCCAAGCCGAAAAATACGGTACTCACTTTGTACCTAAATATCCTAAACTAAAGTGCTTAAATTTTTATCTCCTGCGCAAACTACAAGTGATGTTTATAGCCTACTTAAAAATTATTCACTATCTTGCAAGGATTCCTGCAATGCAAGAGCCCCCAATTTTTTGGTCCGAATCTTCCGAAATCCGGATTTACAGGGTCCGAATCTTCGAGGGTTCACTGTATGTGTGTCTATGTAGACACACACAAAACACATATACAAAATAAATAATAATGGGAAAATCCTCACACAAATAATCAGAAATAAATGTAGTATTACCGGTAAAATTGTTGAGTCCACCTTCAAGTTTATTCCGTGCGTGTGTGTGACTGCGAGTTAATATTAGCTGTTGGGGAGTGCTACCCAACACTCATTTCCATTCCATCTCTCTAATCACCCACACCTTTCTGCTTTCTCACTCCATATTTTAAAATCTTATGTAATGTAATGGTGAAGGGATACAACTTTTCTCATTTATACTTATACTTATCACAATTTCCCTAAAAATTCTTTAAGTTTCATGTTTATTCAAGACATCTTCAGGTCATGAGACCCACTAATTCCCCACCCAAGAAAGGATAACCTGACATTCCATCAGAAAGTCAGTAATATGAGACCACTAATCCCCCACCCTACCTCCACCTGACATTGAATCAGGTCAGGTCAGGTCAGGTCCCCAAAAAAAAGACTGCAACTTTCATCTTTATTCAAGACATTTTCAGAAAATTCTCTCGATTTTCAACCTCGGAAAATTTGTTCCTAAAGCCGGAAATTTCTTTTAAATTCTGGCATTAGGAATGATTTTCCGAGCAAATTTCAATTCCAGCCATCGGAGATTTCCTGGTTTGAGGGATTCTGGCTAACGGAGATATTACTGAATTTCCCTTATAAGAGTTGAGATGCGCTCCTACAGAAATTTTTTGAGGCCCCAAAACGTGACACAAGCACAAGTACCTGGTATGTATGAAATTACTCGTAGATAGTTTCAACCAAAAACGATGTTGAGTGCTACAGGCGGTGGTGAGGTGAGGTGGTAGATCAGAGTTACTGGGATTACCTCCTTAAAACTTCATAGTTATTGTCCAACACAATTCGTTTATAGAATCGTTTATCACCACTACTTTCACTTGAACTTGATGGTCTTTTTCCACTCATCTTGAATAAGGGTTCACAGTAATACAGGCGGATAACTTAACATAAACTGGGGAATGAATTCAAACTGAGCAGCGCCATTGTTGTGGGCCTGCTATAACCTGATGAGGTGAGCTGCCTAGAAGCTATCTTGTAGCTACCACCAGAATCAACAAGAAATAAATTTTATTATCTGGGTGAAATTTTTTGTTCTATATCATGATTTTTTTCTTTTGAAAATATTAGTATATTAACCAAAATTTAATTGTTTTAAGGAAATGAGAACTTCTTAATAAAATACTACCCTAAAAGTACTGTATTTATACTCATTCAAACTTTATCTTTCTCAGTCTTGGTTTTACTGAAATGGCAAACACCAACATATGGAAGTTTAAATAATATGCTCTTCAAACCAAGATTACTATCAATTCACAAGAATATAATTGTACAGTATTCTAATTTATTTTAGTTATTTAATTAAAATGTTTCATTGCATTTTTTTAAGTACAGGGTATACTGTATATACACAAACATAAAATAGAATGCTGTCAAACCATACCTCTGGAAGGCCATTTTCTCGAGCTCCTTGGAGAATAACTTCCATATATACAAACGATGGCCTTCTATCTTCCTCCAATGGACGGATAACTTGGTAGGATCGAGCCTTGACAGACTCACCACTGGGGGTCTCGACATCTACCTCCAGGACCTTATAAATACCTTTGTGTACACCCTCTTGCCTGCAAAAAAAAAAAAAAAAGGTGTATTGTTTCAGACTGCAGTACAGTACTTGCTAAAAAAAAAATTAACGAACAAGCCATTTTATACACATTGTACAGTGATCCCTCGGTTAACGAACACCTTGGTTAACGAATTACCTTCCATAAGAATCTTCAATTCGGTTAACGAACAAAAATTCGGTTAACAAAATTTTTACGAAATCATGTCAACATGTTTTCGCTTCCTCACCAGCTGGAATATTAGTCCGCCAATACAGTAATCGGTTCTAGGGCTTAAATTCGTTCCCATTTGAGTAAATATCAAGAAGGTTGTACTATTCAATAATTTTCTAAGTTTTATATTAATTTTTTTTAGTCATTTTAACACTTATTTAACAAAATTGCTGTACAGGAAACTAGTTTTTGGTGCGCCAATCAGCCACTTGACTCACCCAGCAAGGCGTCAGTTTGTATCTCTGGTCAGTGGAGGTAACATCTTGCTTGTGGCTCTCTTGAACATAAACTATTTTTACGTTTTTTCAGTACAGTACAATTATTGGTCATTCTGAAATTTATTTAACATATTGACAATATATAGTGCAGTGCAGTGTTGATTTAAAGAAAATAATCTTGAATTACACCTAGAGAACTTAAAATTTTATGAGTGAAATGACGGCATAAAGCATGGGGTGATTTCTCTTCCTCCCCCACTTCCTTCTCTTCTCCCTTCTCCTCCACCCCCACTTCTAATTCCCATCATCATCAACCAGGAGCCTTCTACATACACACCTCAAAGTAAGTGTACTTTACTGCATTTATTTTTACTTTGTATGTAAATTTCGGTGAGCTGGAACCAATTGCCCAAAATCCCATTGAAACAATGGTTTCGGTTAATGAACGACCTTCTGGAACGAATTGTGTTCGTTAAACGAGAGACCACTGTATATTTTTTCTGCACATAGAGTTGGGTCCCCTTTAATGGATTTCATGACCATTGATACAGCCACTTCTTTCATACATCAAAGACACATCAATAATTCCTGAAAGCTATTTGCAAGTTGGTTTGACTGAAATAAGTTAAAGAAATATTACTAGGTTACATATGTAACCATACATGCTGAGTAAATGCTTAGTTTGGGGCTGAATCTGAGATACAGTGGTCCCTCGGTTAACGAGCGCCTTGGTTAACGAGATTTCGGTTAACGATTTACATTCCATAAGATTCTTAACTTCGGTTAACGAGCAATCCCTCGATTAACGAGTTTTTTACGAGCCGACTTCAACATGTTTTCGCTTGCATTTAGTGGTCCACCAGCTGTAGTATTAGTCCGCCAATACAGTAATCGGTTTTAGGGCTTAAATTCCTTACTATTTTAGTAAATATCAAGAAGTTTATACTATTCAATAATTTTAAAAGTTTAATATTAACTTTTTTAGTAATTTTAACAATTATTGAACATAATTGAAGGTAAAGAAACTAGTTTCTGGGGTGCCTTCCAGCCTGTTAACACACCAGACAGGCATTAGTCTCTCTCTGTTTTCAGTGGAGGTAACATCTTGCTTGAGACTCTCTTCAACTAAATGCTTTTTTTCTGTGTTTCCAAGCAAATTATTGGTCATTTTGAAATATATTTTACATATTGACAATATAAAATGCAGTGCAGTGTTGATTTAAAGAAAATAATCTTGAATTACACCAAGAGAGCTAAAATTTTATGGGTGAAATGGCGCCATGGGGTGACTTCTCTTCCACCCCAATGCCTTCTCTTCTTCCTTCTCCTCCACCCCCATTCTAATTCCCATCATCATCATCATCCAGGAGCCTTCTACACACACACCTCAAAGTATGTGTACTTTTCTACCTTTTTTGTTGAATTTAGGCAATTTTCGGTGAGCTGGAACCAATTACCCAAAAACCCATTGAAACAATGGTTTCGGTTAACGAGTACCCAAAAACCCATGTACTTAGAAACAATGGTTTCTAGTTATTTTTTTTATTTATTTCCCATTTTTGGTAAGAATACAGAGGTTGTATTATAATACATTCCTAACATTCTTGTTTATTTTAAAATGAGACTAAGAGGGTAGATTTGGGTTAAGGTTTACCTTTGTAAAGAATATCATCCCTGATTAATATGTATGTCACTTTCAATATAGACCAAATTCCTACATTTGATTCTAAGATGTATTGTTGAGTGAAAGTTCCTTTGGAATGTGAGAGATCGAAAAGGAGGATTAAAACACGATATCCTGAAGTCTAACTCATATGACAAGTGATAGACCTGTGAGATGTACCATTTTCAGGCTCCGTTAAGCACAGTTTGCCATTGCTTAAAAGGTGTGCAAAGCTAAGAGGTTAACAGCAGGGATGTTCTCCAAGTGGATAATGTATTCCTGCAAGCAGTGAACACACTAATATATTCCTGGTCAGTTAAATATGTATAAATCCACACAAATTTAGTGGAGGTTTTGGAGACCAGAAGGGATATTTAGATCAGATCAGTCTCGACTCTATAGCTCATTCAATTCAATTCCACAATGATCCAGTATGGAAATATGAATTCAGCTCTTAGTTCCCTGTCAATTCAAGGCTTACAACAAAGGTTGAAGGTAGGAATTCATGTTTCTTGCTTACCTCCTAAATCATTAAATAAATTTCCTATTGCAGTCCTTCATTCCAGTATAGAGAACCTCTTGAGTGACCTTTAAGACCTAATCTAGTGCAATACAAAGTTGTACAGTATACGTATTGGAAAAATGTCTGCATGCACCCAAAAGTAGAAAACATAGCCCTTATAAAAGAGAAAAACAACATTGGATTGACCTCAGGCTTCCCAGAGCCACATAGAATGGAGGTGCACTAGTGTATACCTATACAGTGTACAGTACAAGAAACTCAAGTCACCAATACTACTCTCCTTCATATGTGGAAGTTTGGAGCTTGATGAAGTGTACTGTATAGTAGGATGAAGTATGGTTATTGAAGCATAGGGAGATCATCATGAACACTATTGGAAGAGGATGATGCATTGGTGGTGGTTGCTGGAGAGGTGGGTGGTTGAGCGGCGGCAGCAGGTGAACGAGTAGGTGAGGGAGACGATTCAGCTGGGTGAGTGGCTGGTTCTTTCTTGAAATAAATCATGATTGGTAGTTGTTTCCTCTTGGTTTTGAGGTCTCTATATGTTTCACTTTAATAGCATCACTATCACTGACACTAGGCAGTCTTTTAGTGGGCATTTCACACTGAAACACTAAAGTTTTCAGTACAACACAAGAGATGCTGCATCGCAGGCAATGGTTGAGCGCAAACAAAGGGAAAGGAGTGAGAGGAGATGCTGTGGGTGCGTGGGGGTAACTCATTGTGCTGCGGGCAGGCTCGTAAGCTAGCCACCATCTGTTTACCGTGAATGGTCAAAATCGCGAATCGCAAACCTGTGTAATAGCAAGGGGTTTACTTTACTGTAGAATGTCTCCCTTTACTCAACACAATGTTACATTGTCCCTGTATCCCTTCTTTACCATCTTTTGTTCATGCATCCTTCTCACTTGTCCACAACATCTCACTTAACCCTCAACACGATGCTCTCTGATCATACACATGTAGCTACTTAATGGATGTCCATTCATCTCCCATCCAGTACATTAATTACTCCTCCTTTCTACACTCTCCTCGGTCTCCTCACCTTTCTACCCAACCATGCACTTTTGAATTAAAATTTTTTTACATCTTTCGTTTCCCATTCCCTCAGTCGGTCCGTCTTACCTCATAAAACCCTGATCAGGTCTCTTTTATTGTCGACATCTTTTTCTGGATACATTTGATTTGGATCATTTGCAAATTAAAACTGTGGGAATAAGACAACAAACTCAGAAATAAGACTAAAATTACCTTATAATGGAAACTGTTCGACTAGAGTGAGGTGCAACATACACAGGCTTAATGGTAAAAATAGGACTAAATGACTTGGAAGGAAAACAAGAGGGGGAAACTGTAGTTAAGAATTCGGAGATAGAAGAGAATATGTGGCAAATAAAAACAGTTTTAATATAGTTCATAATGATTTTCATGACAAATGAAGACAACTGGAAATGTAAATTAAATTTAGGGATATGACATAAGGTCAGCGTGACTTTGAGAAAGGTACCTACTATAGACTGTTCCTGATTTACTTAATTTTAAGAAAATTTGAAGTTACAAAATTAATTGCCACAATTTTATTTACAAATGAAAAACCGGAAGTTACAAAACACTCCACTTTTTTCTTCAATAAAACTAAAAAATGCTAAAATAATGCATTTTATTAAACCAGTAAGCTTACATATTTTACTAATATATTTCATTATTTTCTGGCATTCACAATTTTATGAAGTCTACATACACTTTCAAGGTGTCATCAATCTCCTACAATCACCATATACAGTATTACCCCGCTTTACACGGTTTCACTCATGATTTCTCATTTACGCTGCAATTTTGCCAGAACCGGATTCACTTCATGTGCATCTACTCATACTAAAAGTAGAATTTTTTTTTATTTAGCTCATAAAATTCATACAAATTACCCGCCAGAATATAATTTACATTGCTGGAATTTTACAATATGATGATCATTTGAATATAAACATCATGGATTTTGCATTAGACATACAAATTTTAGATCTAAGTAATAATTGGTTTACACAAAGCAAATATTTTATCTTTTGTGCAAAATATATGAAGTTTACATTCAAAATATTCCCGACTGCAAGGAATCCAGAAATGTCAATTATATTATCCTAACTTTAGTCTGAGGTATTATTTATTACTAAACGTTAAAATCTAGTGTTTTCACCCAAACATTTCTCAGAGGAGGAGCCAGTGAGTCGGGAAATGCAAAAATATATGATGTTTATATTCAAATGATCACCAAATTATAAGAATTCCAGCAATGTAAATTATATTCTGACCGGGGTAATTTGTAAGAATTTATGAGCTAAAACAGGCAGGGTGAAGTGGTGGGCAAATTCCAAAATAAGGCTCG